GCTTTGGATCCTTTACTGCCCGTCACCGTCTTCCTCTCTGTAGGTATAAACTCAGGTGGACTGGGCCAAGAAATCAAATGGAATGTGAGAGGCTCCTCTGCACCGAGAGTTGCCCTATCCTAGGCTGCAGTGTGGAAAATGTCTCACATAGAAGAATCGGAATGGCTTCCAGAAAAATCAACCCAAACAGGATGAAAAATGAAATGTACACAATGATTACAACTCTGCTAAAATATATCTGTCAATGGAACACACTGGAAATGAATAAGCAAAAATGACAAACTGTGTGATATGGTGGTAATACTGGGGATGAGTTTTCTTTTGTCCTCTATTTTCTAAGCTTTCCGTGATGTCATTATCCAGGGTGGGACAAAAGCAGGTTTACAGTTGTGCGTATGAGAAGCACAGCATTTATTCTTGTATTATTATTTATTAATTATTGTATTATTTTCCGTCGAAACAACTGTAAGCCTATATAGACTTAGAAATGAAATGTATATTGTTTCTTAGTGTAGAATACGTTTTTCTCTAAATATTTTTGTTATGTAAGTCATTTTACTTATATCGATTTTGTAGAAAAATTTTAGAAACTAACAATAACCATTGTTGCTTAATATCACAAATATTATAAATATACTCAATCTTGATTTCAACATCAGATCGCAGGTCATGGAGACTCCTGTCTGTAACTTTGATGTACAGGAAAGCAGAAAAGCATAGAGGCTAAAATGGACTTTGGAGTCAGGCAGACATGGGTTCAGAACTTTGTAGTCCTGATGTCAGCATTTTGTTCTCTTAAGGCAACAACCCTGTATGTTGTCAGGCACAGTGATTAGGGTTTTCTATGCGCTTCCCATCAGAACCAATATAAATAAGGTGAATCTTTTATCTAGGCCACCCCTTTGATCCAATATCATCTCTGGGGATTTATAAATATACCAAAGGAAGAAAAGGTTGTGTTGTATGCCTGAGTATGGGCCTGGTTTAATTTTAATAGTGTAAAATTGCTAGTGACCCAAATTAATAGAGGATTGATTATTGAAATTTTGTGTAGTCTAGCTGAGATATTGTGCAACTATTTAAAATGATAATTTTTAAGACAATGCTACAACATGAGGAAATGCCTGCATTAGTCAGCTACTGCTGCAAAAGAAACAAACTTGAAATCTCGGTCATACAATAATAAGCACTTATTTATCACTTACACATTGCAAATCAGTTGGGATTTGGCTATCTAGTTGGGATCAGTCAAACTTGGCTCCATGTCGTGAGTTGAGTTCAAGACTGCTTCACATCCCTCATTCCTCAGCGACTGATGGGCTGCCCAAGGCATAGTCTTCACAGGAGCAGAAGCCCAGGAGAACAGATGTAATACTGAAATGCGTAAAGCCTCTGCACTAACATTTCATTGGCCAAACAAAGTGACACGGCCAAGCCCACATCAAGGGGGTGGGAAAATATACTCCAGCTCTAATGTTAGGGAACTATAAAGGGTGTAGGTATAGGGAGGGGGAGAAGTATTGGGAACAATAGTACAGACTAGAACAAAAAGGTTACATGGAAAAACAGATGCACAGGATATAAAGTTGATTGTACAATTTGATCATAACTATGTAAAAATATTTTTGCATATCAACAAAGAATAGAAATAAGCAAAAATGAAAAAAAAAACTGTGTCTGGGTAACAAGATAATAAGAACTTTTTATTTTGCCTTTCTCCATTTCTCAAATTTAACACAATAGAAGTATACTACTCTTCTTTTTATTTTTTTTAACTTTATTTATTTATATTATAACTGATGTTAGGGAGAGGAAGGGAGAGAAAGAGAAAGGGAGAAACATCTATTTGTTGTTCCACTTATTTATGCATTCATTGATTACATCTTGTATGGGCCCTGACCAAGGACTGAACATGCAACCTTGGTTTATTGTGATGATACTCTAACCAACTGAGCTACCAGGCCAGGGATACCCTTCTTTTTAAAAGTAACTTTTAGAACTTCTTATAGCAGGCAAATTAGTTCATCAAACTAACTGTTTTATCCATTTTATTAAATGTCTATAGAAAAATTTAGAATTCTAAGAACAAGCAAGGTAGTCAATTATTCTTAGTCCCCACCAATTTCTAATCTCAAACTCAAACCTAATGAACTCCCATCAACATGGATCTTTAACTTTGCCTGTTGCCTAAAAAAAACAGCTTAACTTCCATTATCCTCTTATTCTTCATTATTGCAGTGCTGATTATTCTCCACACTGACCTCTTTGAAGTCTCCAAAATTAGATATTCATTTCATTAAATATAAACATTATCCCTAGTAGATTCTGATCCTCTGAAAGTAGCAAATCCATTCAACAAATAATTATGAGCACCTTCCAAGTTTGAGGTACTACACCAGTTGCTTTTGGGGGAAATAAAGATGTGTAAATGACCATCCTTACCCTCAAGGATCTCACAATCTAATGGGAAGAGAAGTTTGAGGATTGAAAGAGCAGACTAGTAGATGGGTCCCATGTTCTAAACCCTGGTGGCAAACTGGAATTATCTGGACAACTTTTAATAAATACCAATGTCCAAGCCCATGCCCAGGCGTTCTGATTTAATTGGTCTGGCGTCTGGCTGGATCACTGGTATTTTTAAAGCTCCTCAGATCATCATAATGAGTAGCCAGGGTTGAGAATCACTACTGGGTTAGGCCTCTGCTTTAAACCTGACTGAGCTGTTTGAGTGCACTAAGAACTGATAAGGACTCTCAAATTAAAACAATTATTTTAAAGCAATCATTTTTAAAATAAATTATTTTATCAAAAATTACATAATGCATGCATATAGTTTAAAAAGTTACGTGGTCCTGAGGTTTATGATTAAAATACTGTCTAGCAGTTCCCTGTTCTCTTCACTCCCGCAACCCCCCTCCACCTTTGATCCTTTAAATTATTTTTAGAGAATTCACACTTCTCCCATTATCCAAATGTTAACACACTGGTATCTTCTGCACCATCAAAAACGAATTACTTGCTGAACTTCATTTTATCCCACCTAAAAGTACCCTGAGGCCCCCAAGGAAAGATATAAGGAATAACATCAAGTAATTGGTGCAGCAAGGAGGTAAGAGAAAGGTTCTCTGGACAGGACAATTCACAGTGACCCATCTGGTAGTCTGAGCAGTTCAGAAAGGCAGCTAAAAGCACTTTGCAAGCCCTGCCTGCCCTCCTACCTCATGGAAAGGGATGGGCTTTATCTGAAATTATGGCCAAAAGAATATTTCCATACTTTCTCCTGCATCGAGGCCTCACCAGCATTAATAAAGTTGTCCTAACCTTTCTAGAAGTTAAAAATAGTCCAGAAAGAGGAATAATTCCAAAGCAACTTAAAAAACCTTACAGACAGGAAAACAAAATTGCATTGAAGAGCAATTATTGGCTTAGTTATTTTGGGATCTGACTAGACAAAGGGACTTCTGATTTTATTTCTAATATATTGCACATACATTGGCAAGAAGACATGATAGGAAGGTATTACATAGACTCTGCTATTTCAACTACTACTTCTTTGGTATAGTTTAGAATGAGTTGGGTGTTATCTTTAAACACATTTTTTAAGCCATAGAAAGGCTGTGAAAGAAAGACCAAGTTTAACTGAATAAGGACTTGATTGGCAAGTAAGAATTTCAACAAAGGGAGCAGAAAAGGGTTTGAAGGCTGAGAAAATGGCACTGGCATAGCCAGGAGCAAGAATGTATAGGCACCATAGGTGGTAGAATTGCCATTCAGGCTCCCCATGAACTCTTAGAGTTGAATTATAAAATTAACACCAAATCATAATGGAAGAGTTTAGGAATGTGCAAAGACCCCCTGATAGACAGACTACGTCCCAGGCCAATAACAGGACAGAAGCAGTTTCTAGTCTAGATGAAAGTATTAACAGGTAGAAAATGAATGTGAGTAAAGTACTGTTATGTGTTGAGAGGAGTGAGGGGGAGGTTGGTGGTTTACTTTAGAAACTCAGAAATTAAGAAAAAAATCATTTAAGGCAAAGAATATGGAACAACTAGTCACTCTTAGCATTCTAAATTTGCTTTTTTTTGGTAAATCTGACCTTGTGATGGAAATATCCCTATTTTAGAGGTGTTTGCAATAGTCTATCATAGCTTTAAGCCATACATTTGATCATATTACCAGCTCCCCTTGCTGTAAAGCTATGCTTATGTAATTTGGCCTCCTATGTTACTACTGCATGTGCTGATTAGCAAGAGCATCTGGCCCATTTATTACTATAATCCTCATTGTAAATTGACAGAGTCGCATTGTCAGTTATGCCTTGGTCTTTTGTGAGCTTGATTAACACAAAGCCATCCCCAAGAAACTAATCCAAACTTGGTGCAAAGAGGAAATCAAGTTCTGACCCTATGAAGCTTGGGACCCACAGCCAGTATGAGGTGCCAACCAAGGTACTACCCTGAGAGACCCAGTCAAAGTAAGTAGCCTGGAGGCCACCCTACCTCCCATCCCCAAAATAGGTCAGCAAGGCTGGGTGCATTAGAAACACTGGAAGATGGAGGCATAATAAAGACTGTTTTAAGAGAGTAAGTCAGGGTATATCATGGAAAGCCTTGAAAAATGGCTTGGTTTAAACATTGCAGGGACTCACTGAAGATACATTAGCAGGGAATGTCATAAAAATCAGTTCTCTGTTTGAGGAGAACATCTCTGGTTGACAGGATGAAAGCTGGATTGGACAAGGTAAAACCAGAGGCAGGGGACCAATTATAAGTCTGTTGTAATTGTACATTGAGGAGGTGAAGTAGACTGGGAAAAAGACAGTGACACTGCGAATGCAGTGGCAGGATCAGTCCCAAGAAACGTTTCTGTGGCTCTCTGCCATACTGATTGTGCCTTGAGCTCCTCATTTGTAATATGTGAAAAGGAGTACCTGCCACCTGCCTGGGAGAAGGGACTCTGCATCTTATGGCTTCCTGTATTGTTTGAAATAATTTTCAGAAAGCTGTTCTCTTTTCATAAAGCAGGTAGAGGTGTTTAATGGCTCTTGAGGCAAAGGAGAGCTTATGAGTTTCCTCTGAAGGACTGCATTCTGGACTAAGCCCAAACACAATATTCCTCTCTAGGCCTGAAAACTGCTGAATGCTGTCTAAAATGATGTGACTGCCCAAAACACCAGAGGCCTGGCTGAACACAACTTCTGTTGCTCTGTGGGTCTCAATTAATTCCATTGCTTTTAGCAGTGCAAGCTCATAGCGTCCTCTGTCCTCCCCTCTCCTGCACAGAATTGCTATATCTTTGGACAGATAGCCACATTGGAACAGGCTGTGACATCTTTCTGCCACGTACTTCGCAATTTGTTCTATTGTCAGGTTGGTCTCTGTTTCACACACCCCAGGAAGAGCCTGGGCACGGATTGCTTCCTCGTAGGCAGCTTCCCTGAACAGTGCCAGTGTGTCCAGAAACATGTCGGAGGGAGGACTTTCTTTGGTCTTCTTCATTTCTTGTTTCATGACCATTGCTATTTCCAGAGAACAGTGGATCCCTTTGGTGATTGTTTTCCGAGGAAACTGAGCAGATGGAGGGGGGAGGCCGTTGACATCAGCATGATGGACTTGGAAGGGGTCCAGGAAAAGCCAGAGAACCCCATGGTGAAGGTTTCTCCTTCCAGCTCCCCTCACCTCTGGATGGGTGATACTCTTAGCCTTCTTGTACCAATCACCATATACACTGCAGAAATTCTCCGTCTCATCCATCACTATGTGTTTAATCTTTAGGAACTCCCCTTGCATGAAGGTTTTCCGCGTCACAGCCTGGCAGGTGGTTTGTTGGCTGTAAGGATGAAAGAGAGAATTGGGTTTCAGGGAACACCATGCACTCATTACTCTCGGGATTGAAATTAGAGACTAGTTCTCACCTGGAGGACGATTCATTGATCCAGCTGTGTACGAAATACTACAAAACTGCTTTACTTACAAGTTACCTGATAGAGAGACTACTTCATTGTAAACCCTACTCTTCAGGGTTATCTAGTTAAATATGCATGTGAAACTTTTGAAATAAACCCAGGTAGGAACGTTATTGTTTCTATTAGTAGTCCATTTCTGCTGCTTGACAATCCCTGAGGACAAGCTCTTTACTTTGTCCTTTTTAGAGCTAGAGAACAGTTATCTAGAGGCATATCATACTTTTTTATGTGGAAAAGAGGTATGGATAAATACAAATTCCTCTAAAGCAAATCCCACCACCCCTTTTACATGTAGTACAAAACCAGAAGCCTCATTTGATTTTGGTAAGGAAAACACGAAGAAGCTGCTGAGTTCCATGGCGTGTCAAGTAGGGTAATAAATCTTCAGGGCTGTAATCCTGTTTTGCGTGTTCAGTTTCCCTTTACAGTATGTTGTAGCATATCAGAGGAGGAGGAACACCTTAGAGGAGGCAAGAAACAATCAAGTGGGATTGTTACCTCCTCTAATTTGGATCCAGGTGTATCACTCATGCCTATAGATTTCCTGATGCTACATACGCAGTCCCTGGGGCTTTACTCCCTGTGCCCTGAATCAAAACTGTTCATGTTCTTCCCTTCCAATTTGGACTGTAGATATCTTGAAGAAAAGCACTGATTCTTAGCCACTCTCTATATCCTCCTCACATTAGGGTTCAATAGATACTTGTTGAATTGAATTTGCCTTTGACTGGAGCATTTTTAAACTTACCTATAAAGCATAATAAAGAACTTAACCCATAGTACAATTTACAAATTTTTCACAATATGGCATCTGCCTCCTTTCCAGTTTCATCACCAACTACATAACCATAACCCCCACCCCCACACTGCTCTAGTCAGACTTACCCTTCTGATTCTCTAAGCATCTCCATGCCTTCGCACACACTCTGCCCTTTGCCTAAAAAGCCCTCATTTTATACACTTTGCCTACTAACTTCTTCTTTTTTTTTTTACAGAGATGAAGGGTGAGAGATAGAGAGCTAGAAACATCGATCAGCTGCCTACTGCACGCCCCCTACTGGGGATGTGCCCGCAACTAAGGTACATGCCCTTGACCGGAATCAAACCTGGGACCCTTTAGTCTGCAGGCAGACGCTCTATCCACTGAGCCAAACCGGTTAGGGTGTCTATTGACTTCTTAAGAGTGTACCCTTCTTAAGGATCTCCTTCACTGGGGAGTATTTGCTGACCAACCTTCAGCCCAAGTTAAGATAAGCATATCTTTACTATCATACTAATTTTACAATATTCACATTGCTTATTTTATTTTTTGTCCCCCTTTTTGGGCTTTATGGCCAGATCTTCAAAATCTTTATCCCCACTAACACTCAATATACACAGTACCTAGCATATACACGGTGCTCAAAAAGATTTGTTGAATAAATAAGTAAACCAGACAAAAAATGAAAATGAGTTTGCCCTCATTTGCTGAATTATAAAGCAACCAATTTCTTTTACTAAATTAAAAGCTAAAGATTTAAATCAGAAGCAGATTTGTATGTCTTCTAAAATTATTGATTCAGAACAAGTCAAACAAATGAAAATATTTTATAAGCAAAATCAAATGGTATTTAAATTCAAGTTTCTAGTAGGTAGAATGTCTCATCACCTGAAATATACTGTGACCTTACAATGTTAAGCAGCAAGCAAAATGTTTCTTTAAAGCAAGATAGGTTCATTTCTACTTTTCTTTAAATTTAAGACCACAGATTGTGGGAAACTGTCCCTAGTTATATAAACTTAAATGTATGCAGACTTGGCTGATTTATGATGAAATATTGAAGACTGGAAATAGCAAAGTACCCATTTATAGCTCAACTACCTGGTCACTTGCAAATGTCTGGGCTCTTGCACTTACTTTGTTAAGGCATTGCAAAATCTTAAGTAATTACTTTGGTGATACTGTTGAAAAGACTGACTCAACACATTTACTGTGTTTAGTCAGTGAAACACTCACGCCACGTAATCCTTTAAGGAGTCATGTTCGCAAACATAGAGGATCTCTTTTGGTTTGCAGTGGAATAGGTCCTTGATTTTCTCCATGATCTTTATGGCGAGGGCTGTCTTCCTGGTTCCTGGGAAGCAGTGGATGAACAATTCTCGTGTCTCTTGAAGGCTCTCTGAAAGCAACTCACACTGCTCCTCTATGAGCAAGTTGAAAAATTCACAGCCCAGCCGGTCACTCAGAAGGGATCGAGAGCACAGCAAGACCACCACGATGAGGGCCTGCAACAAGTCTTCCATTTCCTCCTCATCAGCAAGCTGGTAGGATTGGGGGTAGTGCACAGGGACTCCACAGGGTCTAGGCTGTGTGCCCGGCAGGTGCAGGAGTCTCGGAACGACACACACTTTCCCCGTGTAACCACCAATAGTTCCCAGTTTCTGCTTTAAGTGACGAGCAGTGGTTCGGGCATACTCAGGCCCTTCGGGCCCACTCGGGTGCACCCAGATTGTATAGAGTACCAGCGGGCTGTTCACCGCTATTAGGAGAGCGTCACACAAGACATTCTGCTCTTTCCTTAAGCCAATATCACTAGCCCAGCTTCGAGAAAATATCACAATCCCCTGCGAGATAGGACGTATCTGTGTCTTCATGAATTCCTCCAGTTCTTTATGATCTGAGAACAGCGTCTTACAGAGGGATTCTGGTTTAAATTGTATCTCTTCCTGTGTCACTGAAAATTCAAGGGATAGAAGTTACTAGAATGTACAAAAGCATATTGTAAGTATTCCTGCAACATCAAAGGAAGAAATGAGTCTAGCTCTGGAAGTATAGGCTCCCCTGTCTGCAAAGAAAGCACCCCCTCTTCACAGGCCAAGGCTAAGAAGTTCCTGCTGTTGGCAACTCTCATACAGGGGAGGGCAGTCAAGGAGGGGTCTTCACAGAACAGCCTCCTGGCACTGTCTCCTCAGCCCCAAATGGTCCACTACTGCTAGGAAGTCCTCCTTCCTGTTGAGGGTGTGTGTGTACCTGATGCTTTTGGGAGAACTAAGAACATTTCTTTAAAACAATGATTCTTTTTTTTTTTTTAAGATATTTTATTGAACTTTTACAGAGAGGAAGGGAGAGAGATAGAGAGTTAGAAACATCGATGAGAGAGAAACATCGATCAGCTGCCTCCTGCACATCTCCCACTGGGGATGTGCCTGCAACCCAGGTACATGCCCTTGACCGGAATCGAACCTGGGACCTTTCAGTCTGCAGGCTGACGCTCTATCCACTGAGCCAAACCGGTTTCGGCAAAAACAATGATTCTAATGTGGCAATTTTGACACACACACACACCCTGGGGTATTTAGTAGTATCTGGACATTTTTAAAAAGCACCGTTTACTGAATTTTTAGAGAGAGAGAAACATCCAGAGATCGACTGCCTCCTGCACACACCTCTACCTGGGATCCAGCCCACAACCCAGGGCATGTACCCACACCGGGAATGGAACCAGCAACCTCTCTCTCAGTACACGGGTCGATGCCTAACCAAGTGAACCACACTGGCCAGGGCTGGAAACTTTTTGTCACAGCTGGAGGGCTGCTACTGGAATTTAGAGGGTAGAGGCCACGAATGGTGCTAACCATCCTACAGTGCACAGGGCAGCCCCCTCAACAAACAATTAGCTGACCCACGTGTCAACAGTGCCAAGGCAGAGAAACTCTGCCATAGAACCCCATGGCTCACCTCCTTCTGTATTGGAAAGATGGGGGGTGGGGTGCAATTCTCTTGTGATATAGACATGAGGGATTTAGGATGATTCCCAAATTCTCTCAAATTTAGGCAACAAAAGCCGTATGTGACTGGAAGCCCCAAAGCACAGAGAAATATTGTGTGAATTTGATGACTGGGAAACAGAGTTAGCCATATATATTATTTTGGGACCATTATGTCCGCCAAGTCCTACACTTGACCTCTCTCTAAGGAGAAAAATTTGGATTAATTGCTATCAATTCCTTCCAACATAATTTTAGAAAAGAAAATAGTCCCCTCAGCTGAAATCAAGAAGGAAATACCTGGAAGCAAACGTTGTTGTAGAACCTCCTTAAATTCCAGGACTTTCATAGGATATGATGATCTTCTTAGTGCAGAGGAGGCTGGTGAAATCGGGGGAAGGCTGTGGTCTATGGCCAAACTGGCGGGAGCTAAACAAATGAATACATGGAGAGTTGCTTCAGACGAAAAAGGAAAAGGAAAAGTCCTCTCACACTTTCTATACCTCACACCGTTCACATATGTAAGAAAGGAAGTCTGGGGACTCCTGCAGGGCAAGTCATTTCACCTCCCTCATGTCAGGGTGAGGCGATCCCTAAGATTCCTTCCAACTCTAATATTCTGATTCCAGGTCATTTCTAATAGGAAAAAGCTTCTAGAGGGCATGAGGTCAGAAAAAGTTAAGCACACTATATATTTTTTATATTGTTATAGTTGCTTAAGTCCCCACCCAAGGTTTGGATGTGGCAGGATCTCTAGTTTGGTGTGTGTGTGTGTGTGTGTGTGTGTGTAAACTCAAAAAAATTTAGGACAAGAGAAGGAATAATCCAATCCAATCACTCAAGTCTCGATCCAAGCTTCTTTTATCAAATTTGGAACATATTAACCACGAAGGCAAATTGATAAGCTTCGGTCGGGCTGTAAGTCCTCTATGGATTGCTTAGAAATCACCAGGGCTGATTCTGAGCAAAACTGTAAGGGAAGTGAAAACACTAGGAGTCCTCCTCCCTCACCACCACCCCTGCCCCAGCATGTCCTTTTGCATCAGCTTTTCCCCACTTGATGGTGCCCCAAGCCCAGTGATTGGAGGTATTAGTTCCTAATGTTACTGAAACAGTTCAGAATTTTCAACAAGTTTCCCTTGAAAGAACTAATGAAGAGTCCTTCTTAAACAAATTTGCCTTTGAAATATAATCTTTAGAGTGAGATTACTGATGAATGTTATTTTTAAATATATTTTTTATTGACTTCAGGGAGGAAGGAAGAGCGAGATTTAGAAACATTAATGATGAGAGAGAATCATTGATTGGCTGCCTCCTGCATGCCTCCCACTGGGGTTCAAGCCCACAACCTGGGCAGGTGCCCTGACTGGGAATCCAGCCAAACCCTTTGGTGCATGGGCCGGCATTCTAACCACTGAGAAACACTAGCCAGGGACATGGGAGAATATTTTTAAGCAAAATTGCTTCCTATTCTTTAAGTAAAATATCTGGCCAGCCCAGCCAGCGTGGCTCAGTGGTTGAGCCATGAGGTCATGGTTCAATTCCCAGTCAGGGCACATGCTCCGGTTGCAGGCTTGGTCCCTAGTAGGGGGTGTACAGGAGGCAGGTGATCGATGATTTTCTCTCATCATTGATGTTTCTATTTCTCTCTCCCTTTCCCTTCCTAAAATCAATTAAAAAAAATTTTTTTTAAATATCTGACCAACTACCCACAGAAGGCAGAGAAGGGGGTTACTCCCTGCTGACTGAATAATGGCTTCTATTCTGGTTTACCTGGTGGAATATCCAGCATCATAGCCACCCAGTCCTCTGCTGTCAGCCTTGCAACCAAACTGCCCTTCATGATCCACGAATCTGGAGCCTCTGTGAATACCACACAGCAGAAGGGCTGCACTTGAACAACACAGACATAACCATACAGGGCATCCTTTTGGTAGACATCCAAGATTTTGGTAGTGAAATTCACCTTTGGCTTTTCATGGCAGAAGTGGAATGTAGGCAGTTTTTCTATGCAGTTTTCTATTTCTTTTTTTAATAAGTCAGGGTTCACTTTTTCTCTCTTACATCCAAACACTTCTTTGCTCTTATCATCTACCCCGATAATTAGGTATCCCCCATGGGTGTTGGCAAATGCAGAAATGTAATGAGGCAACATTTCTTTAATCCTAGGGACAATCTTTTTGGTGGTGAACCTTTTCAACTCAACATGTGTTGACTCAGTAAAGTTGAGTTTCTCTTTATACATGAGTCTGTCCTTTTTAAGAAATTCTGAGGCAGACAGTCTCATATCTTCCTCTTCCTGAATGTGTCTGTCAAGAACTTTCTGAGGACGCAGCTCCTTCACCCTTGGTCTTCCTCTTTGGGCTCTGGACTGCTTCTGTCTGAGAAGTTCGAGGGCACTGCTAGCACTCAGGTTTATGGCGGACGTCACATCTCTCTGATATAAATTGGAACGCAAGCTACAGATCCTTAGGGGGAGGCTGAAAACATCTGGGCTCCATGACTTTACAAAAATCAAGAGACTGTGCCCCTGTTGCATGTAGTCAAGGTATTTCTGTGAGCCTGAAGGAAGGAGCTTCTGAAAAGAAGTCTCCAGATCCTGTCCCAGCCCGTGGCAGCGGTAGCTGTAGGTTTTATCATCAATCTTCGCTTTGATCACACCCCCTCCAGAATTCAACAGTGCACAGGCGGCTTGGATGATTTTAGAATTCTCATTTCTTTTCAACTGGTTATTGGTCATCTTCTTCCGGTTCTCCTCTCCAAAAGTCACTGTGCCCACGTCTACAATGATCTCAGGATAGAGCATTTCCGTATTGGTCTGGAGACTTTCCATCTCAGCAGCTCCTGTGTCCTCAAAACAATAACAGAAAGGGGTCCCAATAAATAAGCAGGACAGAATGTTGTTTCTACATTAACAAGAATCCCAGAGATTACAGTATTTTCTTCAAAGCTATACATTACTGGACATACATTTTAACGCAGAAATAATAGTTTTGAACATATTTTTATTGGTTTTAGAGAGGAAGAGAGAGGGAGATAGAAACCTCAATGATGAGAGAGAATTATTGATCAGCTGCTTCCTGCATGGCCCCTACTGGGGATTGAGTCTGCAACCTGGGCATGTGCCCTGATCGGGATTCGAACTGTGGCCTCTTGGTTTACAGGTTGATGGCTCAACCACTGGGAAACAATGGCCAGGTGGAAATAATATTTGATATCACTGTTTTCTAACAACTTCATCAAGATCGTTAGCCTTCCCAGCACGAACGGGCATAGTTAAAGGTAAATGCTTAATATTTTGCTATCATGGAAAACTTACAGTGCTAAAATTTTTAGCCATTTTTAAATTTAAAATCAGGAAGTGCCATCAGTGAGCCCAGGTATTATAAAAGTCATGGGTTAAAAAAAAAAAAAAAAAGGCATGGATTGGCACAGGAACCAAAGTAACTTATTAGAGAATATGCAGACTTAGAAGTTGAAATCAGAAGATGCTCCTATTAATTCAAAGCAAAAGAAAGGGGACGATAGAGAACTAAGGTAGTGTAGTTTAATAATATATGTGATGTAGATATCTTGCTATGTAAACAAGCGTAAAACTTGGTATTCTTTACGTGCTATTTTGTACATTTTTAAAGCTTTTTTTTTTTTTTAATATATTTTATTGAGTTTTTACAGAGAGGAAAGGAGAGAGATAGAGAGTTAGAAACATCGATGAGAGAGAAACATCGACCAGCTGCCTCCTGCACACTCCCCACTGGGGATGTGCCCGCAACCCAGGTACATGCCCTTGACCGGAATCGAACCTGGGACCTTTCAGTCCGCAGGCCGACGCTCTATACACTGAGCCAAACCGGTTTCGGCCATTTTTAAAGCTTTATTCTATCCCTGAAAGACTTTCAATTGAGACCAAATGCATAATTCTTTTTATCTTTTTTGTTAAGTCTTCTCTTTTAAAAATATATATATTTTTGTTGATTTCAGAGAAGAAGAGAGAGGGAGAGAGAGTTAGCAACATCAATGATGAGAGAATCATTGATTGGCTGCCTCCTGCACGCCCCACAACATGGGCATGTGCCCTGCACGGGAATCAAACCACGATCTCTTGTTCATAGCTCCATGCTCAACCACTGAGCTACACAGTCTGGGCTCTTTTTAACTTTTCAAACATTCTTCTAAAAGTGCATTTCTTCATATATAGTGTGATACAGGCATTTTCCTTCCCTCCTAATAGTTCTGCCCTGTGCTGTGGGGACCTTTAAGACTTGGAAAAAACATGAGCCTTTGGGACATAGTTGTTAAACTGTGACCAGCCTCCTTTTGCTTCTCAGATCAGAGAATAGCCATCTAAATAGAAATCAGGGCTCTGAAGGAAATATTTCAGACGTGGCTCCCTTAGCTTTTGTTAACTGCAAAATAAGATGTTTACTAACCCAAACCCAAATTCTTCCTGTAGAAAAAGAGAACCCATTTTTCCTATGTAATCTTTGCAAAGTAGAGGCCATGTGGGTGTTGTTTATGCTCATAAGGAGAGAAAGAAGCAGGCATTGAACAGGACATATATCCTCTTCTGCCATAGTTTGCTATGGTTGCCTTCTCACTTCTGCCAGGTATACCAGAATCAACATGGTGATTTTTTTTTCATATGTGAGCAGGTAAATGTAAATGCCTGGCTCTACAGAGAAACTTCTAATTAACATTCTATTCATGTCATAGAGTCACAGAAGTGTTGGAAAGGACTTCAAAGATCTTCTGGTCCAACCATTCATCTGATCCTTAAATCCTCTGTATAATATTCCCAACTCCCAACAAATTTCTTTCCAGCAACTGCTTGAACACCTCCAGTGATGAGTAACTTAATACCCACCAAATTAGTCCCTTCTATTTTCTGACAGCTCTGTTAGAAAGGGTTTCCCTCATTTTCAACTGTAATTTGTCTCCCTATAATTTCCACCTGCTGGATTCACAGGACAAATCTAATTGCTTTTGAACTAGCAGACCTGTACTATCATGACTCCCAAGTCTCACTGATGTTACTATTGCTGTTAACTGATAAATACAATGCTTTCTGAGATTTAAGCTCCATATGAATAGCCTTTCTGCTTTTCCCAAAATTTCTCACTCATCATCCTGTAGCTATTATTTTACTAAGCCCTTCATTCCCTCAGACATAAACTGCATTTAAGATGAGATGGATGAGGTTTTTTAAATGAAAAATAAACAAAATTTTTTTACCTGATACTCTTGCTTCTCCTCTTGTTGTTTCGGTTCCACATCTGGCTTTCCTCTGAATGTTTGCTTTTTGTCACAGTCCTGTGGCTCTTTGATATCAGCCTGGGAGGAGCAGGAACCCTGCCAGACTCTCCCAGTCTTCATAACATTACCCACTGAGGAAGGCTGATAAGGACTCAAGAAAAGCCTATGACAGGGCAGATTAGCAGGCTGCAGTTTGACTTTGGGGAGTGAATTAGGTAGTAATGGGAAGATTCAGGGGTTTTTCAAGAGCCAGCCAAAGCTAAACTGCCCACCTCTAAGGCACTGGGTGTTATTTCCATACGTCATACAAGTACCTCCTGTCCTGGTCAATTTCATTTCAAAGTTCTACATTCATTTTATTTTAAAACTAGAGGCCTGGTGCATGAAATTCATGCATGGGGGTGGGGGTGGGGTCCCTCAGCCCAGCCTGCACCCTCTCGCAATTAGGACATCCCTCTCACAATCCAGGAGTGCTGACTCCTAACCACTGGCCTGCCTGCCTGATCTCCCCTAACCACTCTGCTTGCCTGCCTGCCTGATCACCCCTAACCATTCACCTGCCTGCCTGATCGCCCCTAACTGCTTGCCTCCTGCCCACCTGATCTCCCCTAAGCGCTCGCCTGCCTGCCAAATGCTCATCAGCCTCCTGCGTTGAGACTCTGCCCCTTGGTGGTCAGTGCATGTCATAGTGACTGGTCGACCGGTCGTTCTGGTCATTCCGCTGTTCAGTCGCTGGGCTTTTATTATGTAGGATTATTATTTTTTTTATATATTTTGTTTTGTTTTGTTTTTATTTCAGAGAGGAAAGGAGAGGGATAGAAACATCAATGATGAAAGAGAATCATTGACCGGTTGCCTCCTGCACGCCCCCCACTGGGGATCAAGCCTGCAACCCGGACATCTGGCCTTGACCGGAACTGAACCTGGGATTCTTCATTCTGCAGGCCAACACTCTATCCACTGAGCCAAACCAGCTAGGGTGAATGAGTTGTTTTATAGTTAAAAAATAAAAAGATGACAGCTATCTCACTTGGAGGTGCTGGTTAAACTGGATAGAGCTTCTTGAACTAGGTTGTATAATAGCCACCAATTCTTGTTATCGTTATTGTTGTTATTATAAACCTGCAAATGTTACTTTATGTGAAAAAATGGTCTTTGTAGATGTGACTAAATAAGAATTTTGGGATGGGGAGATTATCCTGGATTATCTAGGTGGGCCCTACATCCAATTACAATTGTTCTTGTAAGTGAGGCAGAGAGAGATTTGATACACACAAAAGGGGAGGAGGCAGTGTCTGACCTATAGACAGAGATTGCTGCGGCCACAAGAAATGGGGCAGCCACTGAAAGCTGGAAGAGGCAGAAATGAATGATTCCCTACAGCTCTCCATCTCTGTCCTAGGGAGCACAGCCCTGCCAACATCTTGATTTCTGATCAATAAAACTGGTGTCACACTCACAGCTGTGAGAAAATAAATTTCTGCTTTTTAAGCAACCAAGTTTGTGGTAATGTGTCATAGCGGCTTCAGAAAACTAATATACGCATCTCCTTCTAAATTGAAGTATCAAACAATCCTGTGCTTCCACTCCAATTTGTTTATGATGAAATGACATTCTTAAATAGGTTTCTGGACATCCCTAGGTTGTCTTGTTTTTTTATTTTTAACTGAGGTTACATTTCTATGAAGTTCTGCTTTGCTGGCATTACCCTTTATATATGTTGGCTGAATATAGTTTCAGGATAGGAGGCGGAATGGATACTATAATCAGCACAGTAGCACCATAAACTCTAAAAGCCTGCCCTCAGCCTCAACTTTAACTGATTTTCATTAACTTCACTTCTAAATTCAGTCTTTTAGTTCTACCACCAACCTTAATTCCCAGCCTCACACTCACATTGCAATCTCCCTTTCCTTTTAGAAAGATAAAAATGACCATTCTTTACTGGACATGTGCATTTTGGTACAAGGTTGGAGCTTTTAAGAAAAAATTGAGATTACATGGAAGAGATGGAGTTCAAAGCCAGGTTTATTTAATACAAATGTTCCTGCTCCTGCCTTTCATCTTTGGGATTCTGCCTTCATGTTTTGGAGTCTTCAAAATCAGAACTCTACCTAAGTATCTCCCCCTTTTCTTCCCGGGCCACAGGAAGAACATTATTTGGACAGGAGAGCCAGGAGCCAGATTGTGGTTTCCTTATTCTTCTTCAGTGCACTATAAGGGACCAAATCAGAAGGAGGGAAACATGTGAAAGATGAGCAAAGAGAGTTTCTTCAAAGTTCCTTAGTCAGGTCCCCTGGCTATAAATAGTTACAGGTTATCACTCCAGGGAGGATCGCACATCAAATGTCCATGCTACAAAATTATCTGAAATCATCAGCTTGCACAGTGCTTTTCCTAGGTCTTGGGAAAGTGAGCTGGCCATTCTGTTCACAATTGGCTAAGAACTACCGTAGAGTCCCAATTTATTTCAGATATATTTATTCACTACAAATTTCAATTTATCAGCATAGTTATGGCACAGCCATAACTAATACAAATACCAACCTCCCTCCTAAATTCATTCACAGAGATAATTCAAAGACTGTAGAGAACAGGGACCCAGAACAAAAATGCCAGTTCCACCAAGCCACGCTACCTAACTCTGGGTCTCTTAACTTTCACTCATTCCTTCATTTAAGTATCTAGGGCAGGGGTGGGCAAACTTTTTGACTCGAGGGCCACAATGGGTTCTTTTTTTTTTAAAAAATATATATTTTATTGATTTTTTACAGAGAGGAAGGGAGAGGGATAGAGAGTTAAAAACATCGATGGGAGAGAAACATCGATCAGCCGCCTCCTGCACATCTCCCACTGGAGATATGCCCGCAACCCAGGTACATGCCCTTGACCGGAATCGAACCTGAGACCCTTCAGTCCGCAGGCCGACGCTCTATCCACTGAGCCAAACCGGTTTCGACCCACAGTGGGTTTTTAAACTGGACCGGAGGACCGGAACAAAAGCATGGATGCAGTGTTTGTGTGAACTAATATAAATTCAAAGTAAACATCATTACATAAAAGGGTACGGTCTTTTTTTTTTTTTAGTTTTATTCATTTCAAATGGGCTGCGGGCCGTAGTTTGCCCACGGCTGATCTAGGGTGTTGAAATCTTAAGTCTGGCACTGAGTGTGATGCTTACAAATACAGTCCATATGCATGACCACAACAAAATAGTGCCACTCTGGAGAGCTAGAAATGTGTTTTCTCTGGGTGTTCTGAGGAGTGACAATAACTATGCGTGCAAGAATAAGACTTCATAAATGAGATGGTTTATGAACTGGAACCTGCAGATAAGAATGCACCAAGCCCTAGCTGGTTTGGCTCAATGGATAGAGTGTCGCAGCCTGTAGACTGAAGGGTCCCGGGTTCGATTCTGGCCAAGGGCACATGCCTGGGTTTCGGGCTTGATCCCCAGTAGGGGGCGTGCAGGAAGCAGCCAATCAGTGATTCTCTCTCATCATTGATGTTTCTATTTCTCTATCCCTCTCTTCCTCTCTGAAATCAATAAAAATATTTTAAAAAAATGCACCAGGCTGAGGGAAATGGAGATGCAGAGAAAACAGCACATGCAAAGGCACCGTTTCTCTCTTTTTTTAAACAAGATTTCTAGATGTTGGGTTCTAAGCATTTTTTAAATCGCTTTTAGAGAGAGGAAGAGAGTGGGAGGAGAGAGGAAGAGAGAGATATTGCTCAATTGCCTTCCATAGGTGGTCAGGGATCGAACCCACAACCTAGATACGTGCCCCATCTGGGAATCAAACCTACAGCCTTTTGGTGTATGGAACCATGCTTCAATTGAGCCACCCAGCCAGGGCAAGGCACAGTCTCTTCACTGTCTAACCTCCTATCTTTAAAGGACAATGGAGTTCCTCGGTAGGTCTGGTACAGAAGACCCTCCGTTTTTCTCCATTCTTCCTTTTTATTTTTTCATGTCCTTCTACCCACCCCTGTCCAACACTCATCACAACCCTCATGCTGCTTATCACATGCTTCCTCTCCATTTCCACTACCACAGCCCTAATTTGGGCTCTTATTAGTTCTCACCTGAACCACTGCAATCCCTTTCAATACCTTCCTTCAATTAATTGAAAAACACAGTCGCATGCTGAATTTTTCTCAAGTACAGCTCCGATCACCTGTCTTCTTGGGACCTCAGTCTTTAAATCATTCTCCAGAGTAGTCTAATCTAAGCAGCCAGCAAACACCGTCCTTAACAAAGTCTTAACCCGTTTCTCAACTTTCCTACCATCCTCCTTCTTTAACACGATCATTGGTTTTCAAACTTTGGTGTGACTCAGGATCACCCATGGGGCTCTGTTTTTGATGGAGGACATTTATATTGTTGTTTCCTCCTGGTGTTGCTAGTTCACCAATTTTTGAGAAACACTACACGTTTCAACTTCAGATTTGGTCAGCTCCCCCCGATACATTCTCATTTAATTCGGTAATTATTCCTTCTCCCAGAATCTCCTAATTCTCAACACGCCCCCCCCCCCGCCCCCATCTTTCAAGACCCAGATTTAATGCCATCTCTTCCGGGAAGTCTTTCCTGCTCTCCTTCACACTTCTTTGATATTTCGCTGCACTTTTCTGGCGGCACCTCTTGTTTACTTAGGAAGCATCCAAGAGCCCGACCAGCCAGGAAGGTCCCTCTGGACAGAGAGGGACACATTCATCTAAGTCCACCCCAACCCCTAGCCCTCACGCCGCCAGGCGGACAAGTGCAATAAACAACGTTGAATCGCTCCATCAATAGTTCTTCCCGGAAACGGAAACCCAGGGCACAACTGCCTCCGAGGAAACCACCGGGATAACCGTCGTCCTGAGGTCCAAGAGCCGGCGAGAACTGCTCCGAGTCAGTTGTAAAGCGCCTGCCCCAACACTGAAGATGGAGCCGCCTGGAAACCAAGTGTCGGAAATGGGGGTTCCGCCCTCCGGCCCGCGCCACCCCTGACGTTCGCCTCGCCCTCCGATTGGTTGCTCCTTGCACGTGACCCGCTGGCCGCCGCGGGATTGGTTGTCTGGCAGAGGCCGCAGTGGGTGGTGGGATGCCGGCGGGGCCTGGAGGCGGAGGCCGGTGGGAAGCGGGAGCTGTTGTCCTGGAGGGAGGGCTGGGAGGCCGGCAATCGGCCCCGTGAGCCTTCGCCGGCTGGGCCAGCCTCCTGGGAGTCTAGGGCGTAGGAGTTCTGGGATTTTCCAAATGGGGCTTAGGACTCCTGGCTCCGGCCTTACTGGCCTTTCCCCACAAGGACGGCTTCTCTGTCTTCCTTGGAGTTGGTGGGGTTTGGACCGTTATTTTTGACGGTCCCCAGTGTGTAAGCACTGGTTGTCCTGCGCTGGGCGCCGTGCAGAGCGCCATGAGGTAGAAGCGGGTGGGGGGGAGGCAGGGGGAGGGTTTAGAGATGCTTGCGATGTGGTCCTTACCTACGTGAAGCGTTGGAGGTAAGTCGGCTGATGCCTTTAAAATCTAGGTGTTTAGGATTTAGTAGGGAGGGTCGTGCCTTGACTGAGTTAAACGCTCATTTATTGAGCCGCCTCCTATGCACCATTCTGAGTGCAATGGATGCAAAGGCCAGTAAGACACAGTCCTGGTTCTTTAGGAACCCTGTGATGGGGGAGGCGGGGATCGTGAATAAATGGCGTTTGATGCGTGTTGGGGGGAAGAAGGGGACTCAGAGGAGGTGATGGATGACTGAGGAGTTAGGGACCACTTAACAGAGAGAGAAGGTGACATTTGAGTAAGGTTTTAATACTGTAATTAGGCGCTCTCCACATTGGAAGGGGCGGGGAAGCATCCCGGATGGCGTAGTGTACTAAGGAAAAAAATTAGGAAAGTATCTTTGTGTAGAGGATGATGAGATAAAGGCTCAAGCATAACCCCTGTAAAACAGACACTTTGTTAGTTTCCCTCTCTTTATGGAGTTTAGTTGCTAAATGGCAAACACAGACCGATTGTCAGTTTTATGGAAAATCAACCTATTGATACTTATAGATGGCTGAAGCATGTGGGGTCTCCAGAATAGTTACTGTCAAAACCATGCTGAAAGGCTGGAAAGGGTGACATGTGATCCTAGTACTTTTCCACGTCAATGATTGTGTATCACCAGGTGCCATTTAGAATAAATGAAATGCAATCAGCCTTTTCATTCAGAAATCAATTGTTCAGGTCGTGAATTATCCAGGCTTTCCCTTTTTTCCTTTATCTTGCTCATGCCCTGGAGGAAAATGAAATTAAACCTTATATTTAGCTGATAGTGGAAAAATATAAATCTGGTAATCAGACCTCAGTTCTCCTTCCAGCTGATGTTAATTTGCTATGGACCTTAGGCAAATCATAGCCTCTCTGGGTCTTGGAATCTTAAGATAGAAGATCCTGGTATAACAAATTTATGACTAGTTTTTATCTTTATGTGCAGCATGATTGTAAATCAAAATATATTTTAAATGAACTGGAGTTTATAAGATAATTTAGTATAAAAATCTTTTCTAACGCTTTTGCTTAAGAACTTGTCTCTAAATCCTTTTGCAGGCATCTGAAATTTTATCTTGCATTGTGTTTGAGCTCATTAAAAAAAAAAGTTGTGTTTTTTTTTTAAAACTGTAAGTGCTTACCCACCACCTGTATTTCAAAAACAAAAAAGCTCCCCCAAACAAAACTTGTTCAAATTTGCATTTTTGTAGAGTTACTTAAACCAAAGCATAGTGGAAGATAAAATGGTTGCAATTTAAACTTATCTAAAAAGAAGGCTTTATTTTTTTTCATGGGTAAACCTAAGTTTTTTTAGAAGTGAAAATACTTTTAGATAATACAAGGTGGTGAAATGCAATGATGCGATGATGAGTGAAGTATAGTCTGACCTGGTATTGCCATTGCTTCACTGTTGGCTCTGACCAGGGTGTGATCACTTAATCTTCTCTCTGAGCTGAGTCTGGTTATGGTTTTCTCACATTGGTATGTTCTAGCATATTTGGATACTGGTTTTATTATGTATATGAGTGTTTCTTTGGTATTTGTTTGAATTTTACTGATACTTTGTTTTTCTTCTTAGGTTGACGTGAAAAATCTGGCTTTGATACCTTCACGGAGTACTACATTATTTCAGTCCTGAATCTGGTTCAGTTCTCTTATTGACTTATTATATTAAAGATGTTTTTTAAATTGATATTTGCTTTGGTAAAACCTTGATATTTAACAAGAATTCTTGCAACTATCCCCTATACTCTTGTTATCTATAATAATAAAAAGCATAATATGCTAATTAGACCGGATGGCCTTTCAGACGACCTTCCGGATGAAGCTGAGGCAAGCCACCTTGGCTTTGAGGGCCGAGCCCCTTGCACAGATTGCATGCATTGGGCCTCTAGTGATACATAAAAGTGTTAATATTTTAAAATCCATAGGATGTTCCATTTCAGAATTTAGTTTTATCACCTTGGTGCTATTAGAGAATGTTTGTCCTTTGAATTGCTAAAATGAGTTAAAATACTGGAAAACGCCTATCTCAGCAGAGGCACCTACAAATTACTTTCATCCTTCCTCATCTAGTTATGAGTTTTTTAACCCATATTTTTTCATCAATTTGCCAACCCAGGCATGAATTTTTCTACATAGGCAACTTAAAGTGTTTTTGTAGTCTTTCTAATACAAGATATTTCAAACAAAGCTGAATGCTGAATTCTTGCTGTTGGAGTAGAGGACTTTCCCCCCAATTATTGGATTAGCAAAAACCCCCACAAAATGTTAATACAAAAATACCCCCAAAAGTCAAAGGTTGTCTGAATGAAAAATTTAAACACCTCAAGTAATCTTTCAGTTTTTGTATAATCATGACAACATGGAACAGTTCTTTGCCAAAAAACATTTATTCTTGAAATGTATTTGAGCGTTTCATAGAAACTTTAGTAATAGCCAGAATTATTCATGCCAGTTTAGCAAACGCTTTTTTAAATATATTTTGTTGACTTTTTACAGAGAGGAAGGGAGAGGGATAGAGAGTTAGAAACATGGATCGGCTGCCTCCTGCACACTCCCCACTGGGGATGTGCCCGCAACCAAGGTACATGCCCTTGACCGGAATCGAACCTGGGACCCTTCAGTCCACAGACCGATGCTCTATCCACTGAGCCAAACCGGTTAGGGCCAGATAAGCAAACTCTTAATAGCAAGGAGAAAGGGCTTATTAAAGGAGCCTTTCTTTACACATAGATGAGTATTTTACTTCATCTTTTTTTAATATTTATTGATTTTAGAGAGAGGAAGGCAGAGGGAGAGATAGAAACATTGATAAGAGATTGGCTGCCTGCTGCATGCCCCTCACTGGGGACTTGAGCCTACAACCCAGGCATGTGCCCTGACTGGGAATTGAACCGGTGACCTCTTGGTGCATGTGTTGATGCTCAACCACTGAGCCACACCACCTCGGCTTTACTTCATCTCTTCATTGCTTATTAGCTTTGCTTTCTCACCAAAATCTATATATACACTTCACCTTAATTTTCCTTTAACCAGTTTCCCAAGAAAGACTCATAAAGAAATCTTTAGAAGTTGATAAATTACAGCAGACATTACATAACAAATGGGTCACAGTATATAGAAGGAGCGATTGTTTTTCAAGAGTAAGCCCACTTTTCACATTGTAAACTGATAAAACCTCTTCCTCATAGGCAAGTGAAAACTTTTCTAAATACAAGGTCTGCTTCCCCTTCACCACCCACTTTGAGGTCTAACATGGGTTTTTCCTGAGAGCTTCTATACTTCTTCGTTCTTTAAGGAAAAGCTTCTGTACTGATTATCCTCTTTTATCCACTTCTATACTGACCCTCAATTCTCTTACTCTAATCAGCTTGGTTAACTTTAAATTGGGGCCTCGAGAGCAGGTTAGAAGGTTAAATCCATGGGTATATCCTTTTAAAGAAATCCATGTAATTTTTAAAAATTCATTTAATTATGAATTGAGGCTAAGAAGTACCAAATAACGCCGTGTACCATGCTGAAAAACAGCCCTGTGGCCTTCTGGGCAATGATTTTCCTGCGAGGTAAGATGCTAATCCCTTTCAGTTGTCAGGGGAGTACAGTTTAATTAGATGTTGTACTTCTGTTGGATAACCTGTGATGGGACAAGCCTGGTGAGTCCTCACATAACTAAACACACAGCGATAGCAAAACACATAGCCAGAGGTGGCAAGAACAGTATCATTCACCCGGGTTTTACGACACAGTGGGCACACAGTCTTCATTTTGGGTAACAGGGGAGAATCAGAATTGTAGTCTAGGTGTACAGGTGGTGGAGGAGTCGGCAGAGCAGTCAGTGATTTGATGGTTTCTTGATTTTCTGACGAGTACCACCACTCAAGGAATTGCAGGAAGAATACACCGACAGACAGGCCAGTAGAGAGGGATAAGGCCACACCTCCCACAGCTTTTTTCAGAGTTGACTTGATCTTCTCACTAATACTGTTGGGAAATAGAACAAGAAGGCAAAAGGAGAAACTGTTTATTTAGGTACAATTGCAGAGTGACTAATATAAATGGAATTCTCACACTTTTCATCAGAATCGCCAGTTCAGTTTGGGGAATGACTGGCATTGTCTCCTTAAGGTTGTATTCTAAATGTTTCCCTCTTTCTGACTTACAGTATTTTAGGAGCCTAGGAGCAAAGCTTTGTTTTTAAAGACGAGGGTTTTGTTGTGTGTTGAGAAGAAATTAGTGAGACATTGATTATATAGACCTTTTTGTGTATGTGTGGAAGATAGTATATCCAGAAAAAGAAACAACTCACTTAAAAAAAATTAACTTAGCAGCATTGAAGAATATACATTTAAACTTGTAGGAGAACATGAACACCAACTACAAGCAGTATAGCGTTGTGGTTAAGCGCAGTCGAGAATTGTGTTGATCTGCCTTGAATCTCAGTTCTGCCACCTTCTAGCTGTGTGGCCTTGACAAGGTACTTAGCTGCTAGGGCTTAGTTTCCTCAGTTGTTAAATGGGGCTAATGAATGAGTTGTGATGGGGATTGGGATAATGTATATAAAACAAACACCTAGCTCAGGGCCTGGCCATAGCAAGTGTAGTAGTTTTGATGAGGTTGCTTACCAGGATGGCAATCCTTGTTTTATGAACACAGAATTTTTCTATGATTTTATAAAAAAACCTCAATGTGGACTGAAGGAGGTGATTTCATAAAATTAAAGTAAGATTTTAGAATCTGTTCATCAAAGATTTGGGGGAAATGTTAAGGCCTTACCTCCTGGCTGGTTGCTGCATCATGCTGGCTTCAGCTGCTTTGTGCTCCAGGGCTTGTATATCCTGAACTGTAAGTCGACCCAGCCGAACTCCAGCCAGACTAAGTAGAGGTGAGTGATGCTGAGCTTTTCCTAGGATGTATCGAAGTTGTTGTACAAGAAACCAGCCTTCCCAGGCCATGTTAACAAATGGGTAGGCTGCCAGGAAGGCTCTGTAAAATTGTTTCCAGCGGGAAGAAGGGGGATGGATAGAATATTCATCCTCTTCTCTCAGGCTAGAAACCAGCTTCTCCAGCTTCACTTTCAGATAGGGAAGAAGAACCAGGAACATAACGGACTTCCAGAGCTGCTGCTTTGGGAGACCAGCACTGGCCAGTCTCTGAAGCTTGTGTGTGTCCCCGGTGACAATCCGCTTTAAGCCGTAAAAGTTTTCAGAAAATGAGGCACTGGTTTTAGACAGATAATGCTGCTGGAGCAGAAGATCCAGCAGGGCAAAGATTTCATCAAACCACCTCCAAAAGAAGCCATAGCGGGCAGGGTTTGATTCTGCAAGAACCTAAAGTGAAGTAGATATTAATAAATGAAATGCATTCCATTTCACAGCTACTATGCCTTATCTTTGCATTCTCCTCACCCCCATGCCCTCTAAATTCTACACTTTGAGATTAAACAGATCACTACTTTTGGGGCTTACCCTATCCTTCCTGCAGTGCTGGGCATTCATTACAGGGCTCTACACATAACAGGGGTTCAATAACCGTTAAATTATATGAATAATAGGATATGGATTATGTGCTAATTGGTAATTTCAAACCTAGGCTCCAAGATAAACTCAAATTATTGGTTTGGTTTTTACCCAGTCGTCCCTAAAACCACTTAAAGAATTAATACCGTACCTTGACCACATGCTGAAGAGCAGGCCTCACTGCTGTCATTAAACTGTCCTGTGCTACCACCTCAAAGATGGATGGCTGGTCATCCACCCCAGAAGCAGCTGTGATGTGAGCCCCGTGCTCGGCCATAGTTTTCTGCGTGCACTGGGTTTCACTTTGCCCCTAGTAAGCATGAACTTGTTTGGGGTATCCAATGGGCACTCAGTCTTAAAAGTAATCTTTCCGCAGGATATCCGAAACTCCTAATTCTCAATTTTTACAGGAACTGGGAGAGAAAAGACCACTTCTGGAGGCAGAAGGGACGGGTCTCAAGGAAGAAGGACGTTAAGGCAGGACCTGGGTGGAAGTGCCGTGTAGGGAAGGGGTGACTTGCAAATGCTGCACTTCACAGGGCAGAGCGTGACCATGGGGGAGAGGCAGGGGCCAGGAGGTCTGTCCTCTCCAGCTGCAGTCGTGGAAGCTGCGGATCGGGGGCTTCCAATCGCGAGGGCTCAAAAGCCGGCCCGTCCTGAGAAATCAGAGGTGCTCGTGCGGGCCGGCACCCGAGGCCCGGCTCCAGCCGCCGGCTGGCGAGCACCCCGCCCGCGCCCGTCCTTGCGCGCTGACCCCAGGCGAGGCGCGAAGGACCCACGACGCCACGTTGGACGGGAGGTCTCCGCTTTAGGACAGGAGCCGCACCCGGAAATAGAAGCCGCCGGCGGTGGGCAGCTGCGGCGGCGGAGAGGCGTTCTAGCCCCGAACGCGGCCCCGAAACCGGAACCAGAAAACGCTATGACCCACGAGCACTTCCGCTTCCGCCCCCGCGGGAATGGAAGGGCGCTGGGCGACTCCCTTAGAGAGAAGTGTTTGCTCGCTTTAGGTAGTTGGGTTCGCGGGCCGTCTCGGTAGGAAACCAGAGCTCTGAGTCTCTGCAGAGGTGTTTTGACCAGATGTTTGGGGCGCCCACCTCTGGCGCCGCCGGAACTTGGTCCCGCGGGCGGTGGAGCTGGGAGCGGAGGGATGAAGGGAATGCGGAGGTGGAAAGGCTCTCAGTGCGGGTGCAGCAGGTGTGATGGTGAATTTATATTATGCGCCTTTTGGGAAAGATTTGATAAAGATGATTAGGATGAGAATGGTTCCTGTGAGACCTCCAAATTTGGGAGTTTTGTTATTACATTTCGTCCAAGCTGGTAGTTTACCATAGTCTTCTACGTTTGGTTGTATTCTAGCATAAACTCCTAATTACTTTCTACCCTAGATAAAAACGATTCCAATATTTGTACACGGGAGGGTGTGTCCTATTAGCTATAAGAGTGCTAAGTCGAAGGAATCCTGGTAAGTTCCACCAGCAGGAACTGGGGAAGCGTGACAGAAAAGGCACTTTTCATTGTGTACCAAAGTTGGTGTAATTTACCTTACGGTTTGCAAAGTGCTGTTATGCAACTTTGCCTCATTTGCATTGCTAATGCAGGTTTATTGAATTTGGATAAAAGTTCAAGTTCGACCTGTCTTCTCTGTCCAGAACTCCTCCCTGACCTCTGGCCTAAATAGGTAGAATATAGAAGGTATTATTCATTGCCCAGAGGACCTTAGGGTATATAGATAGGTAACTGCTTTGCATAATGAGAGCCCTCAGAAACAAGGTTTGGCTTTAGTTATTTGAATAGAAAGAAATATCTTGCAAGTTAACCTTAATTATACTTCTAAAAGGTGTTCTTTACCAAAATGCCTGCTAAAAAGTCACATTGATAAAGATTTTTACCTTACGGAGCTTAAAGACTAGACATGTATCTATAAAGTACCAGGTACAGGTTAGGTGCTTGATCAATGGTAGCTGTTATATACAAGCTTTCCTCAAGCGAACAACATGCAGGAGGCAACCAATCAATGTGTTTCACATTAATATCTCTCTCTTTCCCTCTTCCACTCTCTCTAAAAAAAAATCAATGGAAAAATATCCTCGGGTGAGGATTAAAAAACAACAAAACATACATAGTATCTACACTATAATGGAGTTTACAGTCTAGTTGGGGAGGAAAATAAACTAATATATAATTTATAAATTGAATAAGAGGGATGGGATAGGAGGGGACTCAGGGTAATCAGGGAGTGCCTTTCTGAGGAGAGTGCACTTAAACTGAGACCAAATTATGAGCCAGCCATGTGAGGAGTTGGGGAGGAAGAATATTAAGCAGGAGGAGGAGTATTGTGGAGGCCCTAAGGTGGGAAAGAACTTGGCATATTTGAGTGTTGCAATAGCAAGCAGAAGGGGAATATGGGGAATGAGGAGTGACAGAAGCATAAAATGATATTAGAGAGGTAGGCAGTGGCCAAACAATCCATGCAGGCACTAAGGGCCACGGGAAGGAGTCTGTAGCAATTGATATTATTGACCACTCACTCATTCATTCAACAAATTCTGGGGAGGGGGGCTAGGCCTCAGAAATGGAAGAGTGAACAGATTGATATACTTCCTACTTTCATGAAATTATAAAAGCATCCTGAAACATAACTGCCTCCTTTCCTTCTGCCTCTGATTACTCATTCTTGATCCCTTTCCAAATTTGGTTTCCTCAGCTTCTGCCCCAGCCTCTCTCTCTCTCCATATTTTTAAAAAATATATTTTATTGCCTAAACCGGTTTGGCTCAGTGGATAGAGCGTTGGCCTGCGGACTAAAGGGTCCCAGGTTCAATTCCCATCAAGGGCATGTACCTGGGTTGTGGGCACATCCCCAGTAGGAGATGTGCGGGAGGCGGCTGATCGATGTTTCTCTCTCATCGATGTTTCTATCTATCCCTCTCTCTTCCTCTGTAAAAAATAAAATATATATGTATTTTTAATTGATTTTTTACAGAGAGGAAGGGAGAGAGATAGAGAGTTAGAAATATCGATGAGAGAGAAACATCGATCAGCCGCCTCCTGCACACCCCGCACTGGGGATGTGCCTGCAACCAAGGTACATGCCCTTGACAGGAATCGAACCCCGGACCCTTCAGTCCGCAGGCCGACGCTCTATCCACTGAGCCAAACCGGTCAGGGCTCTCCATATTTTTAAAAAGGTTTTATTTTAGAGCAGTTGTTTTAGGCTCACAGCAAAATCGAGGGGAAGAAACAGAGATGTCTAATTTGTGGTTAACAAAAAGAACTTCACTTTGTGTAAGCAAACCTAGTACATGCTAGGTGCAGAATGTACTCTATCCCAGTTAAGCTCCACAAAACCTCGAGAGAATGAAAATCATTTGAGACGTTATTTCGCAGACAAGGAAACTAAGATGGAGGAGAACTGAGGCAACTTTCCTAGTGACATTCAGGGCGGCGATTTCAACCCAGACCTGCTGCCATCTCACCCTTTCTCTTTGCACCACTCCCCTCTAGTGCTAGCCAGGCCCCTGCAGGCCTGGGCTGCATCACCCCTGTCCGCGCTCCTCACCTGGCCCGGGAAGTTAGCCGAGTTGGTTTTTCTTTAGGAAAGGAACCGTGTGTGTGTGTGTGTGTGTGTGTGTGTGTGTGTGTGTGTATAGACTCTGAATATCATTTGAGACGCCGGTGGCAGGTCTCTTCCCGACCAAGAAAATAGAAAAAAAAGTAAAATTTAAAAAAAAAAATCTTTGCATCTCCAAGGCGACGAGATCTTTGTCTCGGGTCTCCCGCGCGCCGGGATGACGTCACCAGCGAGGTCGTCTGACGTCGGCGCGTCCTGCCGCCATCTTTGTCGCTGGCACAGCGGGCTTGGCGCAGCGGCCGAGACCTGGAAGAGGAGCCGTGACGTGCGGGAAACCATTACAACATCGCTGGGGCCGCGCTCTCCGGCCGCCGCCGCCGCCCCCGCCCTTGCCTCCGGTGAGTTCAGGGCGGCGAACTCCGGGGTGTGTCCCCCATGGATGCTCGGGACGGGGGTGGCCCGCGGTAGGGTGGGAGGCGGGCGGAGGAGGGGACATCCTGGGAGCGTGACCGTTGAGGATGGACCGAGCCGTCGGGTGTGACCGTTGTGAGAAAGAGGGCGGGAGAGAGGGGCGGCACGGCCGTGGCGGGGCGAGGGGGTCCTCGGGGGTGGCGGCGGGGAGCTGGGGAGCCCGGGCGGGCAGGTCGGGGCCGACGTCGGCCGGTTAGGGAGGCCCCAGGCCAGGGGTGTGGCCGGGAGGGGCCGGAGGCCGAGGGGCGAGCCAGCCCTCGCCGCTGGGCGTCGTTCTCTGAGCCTGGGACGGGCCCGGCAGCTGAAGGGGAGAGGGAGCCCCCCGTGATGGGCACACCTCGCCCGGCTCCCCCGGTGTGAGGTTGAGAGTCATTCTCCCCCACCCCGTCATGGAGGGACGGGTCTCCCGAGCCCTGGCACCTGGTAAAGAGCAGGAACTCCTGCACTTGAGGGGGGGGGGGGGGGAGCCCCGCCGGCGTGGCCGGGTGGTTGAGCATCCACCTGTGGACCCGAGGTCACGGTTCCATCCCCGGTCGGGGCACACGCCCAGGTCGCGGGCTCGATCCCCAGCGTGGGGCGTGCAGGAGGCCGCTGATCAGTGATTCTCTCTCATCATTGATGTTTCTCTCTCTCTCCCTCCCCCTTCCTCTCTGAAATCAGTAAAAACATATTAGAGAGAGAGATGGGGAGGAAAAACCTCCAGAACTGGCCCGATGTGAAAGAGGGGGGCGAATTGGGGATAAATCTTAGCCCGGAATTTTTCCATTTTGGATTTAGCAGGAATGGTCTGGTTTGAGAAAGGCTGTAGATGAATTAAGCCCGAGGCAGAGAAACCAGTACTTCCTGGTACTTCCTAATTCTTTGAAGCCAAAGAATTTATTCCTGCTGTTTGTTCTCCGTAGTGTTTAGGGCTTTAACTGAACACACTTACTTGGCCGCTTCATTATGAAGCAACGTGAATAAAGCATGAATGCTTCATTAAACTTTGAGTTTTTAGAAGTGTTTTTTAAATGTCAGACACTTATAATCAATGTAATTTTTTAAAATAAAACGCAGTAAGTTTAGGAAAGGCAGAATGACAAAGCAGGTGGTCTCAGTGAGGACAATTTAAATTATGAATAACCTTTGCGTCGGACTTCTCTTGCTTAGCCTCAGGGTACACTTACAAAGTAATAATAGCAGCAGACGAAGGAGGTGCGGCTGTAAGGTGAAAAGTGTAACACATCCCAGTGATGACTGCGCCGGTGGTAAGGTGAGACCTGTTTGCAAGTATCTTCACAGTTTAAACGCCCAAGGAAGCAAAAGCATAGTGTGTTCTGCAAACCGCCTCGCTGAAAGTTGGATGGTAAAATTAAGAAAAGCTAACATTCTGTGAATTAAGAGACTCAAGAAAGTCCAGTATATTTTAGGCTCAGGTTTGAACCAAACTGAACAAGGAATGAATAAAATAGAATATGCTCTCCCTTTTTCCTTCTTTGCTTCCTTCTAGGTTTAAGTTTTCTAGAGTTTATTGGTATTTCAGTTAAAAATTAGATGTAAAACTTTGAGCTTCTTTCTTACTGTATAATACTAACAAATCGCCGAAACCGGTTTGGCTCAGTGGATAGAGCGTCGGCCTGCGGACTGAAAGGTCCCAGGTTCGATTCCGGTCAAGGGCATGTACCTGGGTTGCGGGCATATCCCCAGTGGGAGATGTGCAGGAGGCAGCTGATCGATGTTTCTCTCTCATCGATGTTTCTAACTCTCTATCTCGCTCCCTTCCTCTCTGTAAAAAAATCAATAAAATATATTTAAAAAAAAAATACTAACAAATCACCTTGTAGTCTGCCATATTTACGTGAAATTACAGGTGTGTCTGTTATAATTTGGTGTCTTTTTAATTTCTTATGAGCTGAATGATACCTGAAGATGCTGTTGACTTTGCGTTATTATTGAAATATCTGATTAGCACTTCTTACCCTTGTAATAAAAGATGGCTGGAATAACTTGGTTAACTCTTTGGCTAGTTTTTCAGTATAAACACCAAACTGTGTAAAGCTCAACTTTCAGTGAAAAGAAGGGATTTAGTGGCCTCGTCAACTCTTAATTTAGCTGCCATTTCCCAGAGAGCCATGTGAAATTAAGATTCTAT